AATTAAAAAATTATACAAAAAATAAGGAATTTTAAATAGTTAATTTGATACGAMTATCGATATATTTTTGTATGCATAAAGTACTGTATATTGATGCATATTACTTAAAATTCAAGATTACAAGTAATTATGCATAAGTACAACTTATTAAAGTTCGATGTTCGAATTCGTATAAATAACTGCGGATAAACATAATCAAATAGAGAATGAACATCTCATTTTAAAATATAAAAAAATCTAAAAATAATTAGGATAATTATCGAGTTCCAACAAAATAAATAATTATTATCTTTATAAAAAAATTATATTATTAAACCAAATATAAATTACTTTGTTATTGTACGTAAATTAAATTATAAAAAAATTGAATTAAAAAATTACACAAAAAATGAGGAATTTCAAATAGTTATTTGGTACTAATATCGATATATTTTTGTCAAATTTTTATGATATCTTCAAACATATATTTTATTCAAAAATAAAAACATTATCGTTTTCTCAAAATCACATATAGCCATATTATAACATCGACTGAGATAAATAATAAAATAAAATATTAAAATCACGATGTATCTCGCTGCATTGCGCGAGTACGCTTCTAGTCTATATATATACTCTCTCTCTCTCTCTCTCTCTATATATATATATATGTGTGTGGGGGGGGAATCATAAAAGGTTGTGGAACTAGGGGTGCTAAAAGAACCTGAAATCCGACCAACCAAATCCGAAAAAATCAAAAAGATCAACCCGAGGTAACCCGACATAATTGTTATATAATTAGGCCAAACACATCTATTGGGTTGGAATTGTGTTAAGAGTAATTTGAATCCAACCCTACCCGATGAACCCAATGTCTTTCTATACTATGAATTTAATACGATTGTTAAGTCTTTGATTAATATATGTATATAATTAGACATCAGACCAACCTGTAATTAGCTATACTTAAAATTATATTACGATATCAACTGTAATTTTTACGTTCTTATTTGTATGAATCTTCAACTATTTTTTTTAGTTTGTTAGCCTTTTAAGTATGTTCTGATTTTGATTTTACTTGTAAAATGATGTATCAAAGTTTCAACCCGACCAACAAAACCCGCACGATTTTGGTTGGGTTGTAGTTTTGCTTGATTTGGGTGGGTTGAAATTTTTTGAACCACAAACATTGACTTAGGTTGTTCAAATGTCTTCAACCCAACCCATCTGCAGCTCTATGTGAAACCATGACAACCAGTTTTCATGTATTGTTTCACAATGTGGAACAATGCATGTGAAAGTACAATGTTGTTTCACAATGTGTCAATGTGATTAGTGTAATGTGTATTTTTTTTATGAAACAACATTGTATACAGTACTGTCACATGCATTGTTTCACAACGTGAAACAACACATGATCAATGGTCCTTACGTTTCTCAATTATCAACATCTTTTGCTGTTCACGTTTGAGTATGCATACGTACACAACATACACATAGAGAGAGATGATAAAACGGAAACCCAAAAAATGTTGAGAACTCATGGAAACCGATGTCAACCATAGGTATTGTTTGAAACGTATTTGTTTCACCGTATGAAACTTATTGGCATGTATCAATTTGCATGTATTGTTTCACAATATGAAACAACATTATATTTTTCACTGACCGTTGAACATCTTTGAGGTTTTCATTTTATTAGCCCTACACAAAGACCATATTTGTTTTTTTTTTTTTTGGAATAACGAAAAAACACTTAAGAGACGTCTGGTTTATAGAATTTCAATGTAACGTAACAGAATTGGAATGCCAGATTTCATCAACTCAGTTCTTATGACTTGTTTGGTTTGCAAAATCAAGAGAGTTGATTATATTGGAACCAACAAATTACTTTAGGTAAGAGAACTGATAATTCCATCATTTTTTTCGATAAAATTCAGTTTGATTATTATTACTACTACTGTTATTATTAATATTAAAAGATAATTATACAATATATAACTATTTAAACTGCATTTGATTTCAATATATGCAATCAAATACCCAGTTCAAATTCAACTTTATTTAAAATCCAATAAATAAAATTTAATTGTTTAAAATGTTTAATTATTTTCTAAAACATTTAACAAAAACACCTAAAAATATTTAACAAATTTAATTATCTTTTTAATATGATAAGATTTAACCTAAAAATTTTAAAACCAATCAATCAAAAAATGACAAGTGTTCATGTATTTAAATTAAAAAGAAAAAAGAAAAAAAAGTAGAAGCAATATTGGATCAGATTGTGATCAGGATCGACCATTTTAGATTGAGGATAACTTATATATATATATATATATATATATATGTATATGTATGTATATGTATATGTATATATACATAGAGAAAAGTTCAAACGAGAACATCTTTATTTTATGAGAACGTAAGAACACCCTTTTACTATAGACAATCACATGTGATACTATTATTCCATCACATATGATACACATGTGATACTAAATCAGAGACGAGGGTGATTTACGATGCAATATTGGTTGCAGGCCAAATCGCCCTTACACCATTAAGCCCCCTCACAAATATTATCATATGTGATAAGATTGTTGTTGATATAATACTATAATTCATCAAGACCATCACATGTGATGCTAAATCATAGACGCATACAACATTTGACGCGGCCTAAGTCGTAGAACACGTCGTCCGCACATCACAGGGTCCCCTCACGTGTATTATCACATGTGATAAGGGTATTCTTGCGTTCTCGTAAAATATAAGTGTTCTCGTTTAAACCTCCACACACACACACACACACACATATATATATATATATATATATATATATATATTATATAAATTTTCTCTTTTGTCCTAATTGGGATTGCAGTCAATCACCATTAGAGATACTCTAAATGATTTTATATGTGGTTTTATTTAGAGTAAACTACACAATTGGTTCCTGTGGTTTGTCGAAAATAACAATTTTTTTTTTGTAAGGGTGTCCGGGCCAAAGTCCGACTAATCCCCGGCAAATTTGGAGGCTAAACATGGCCCCACTTAAATGTCGCCAACACTCCCCTCCCAGGGCTCGAACTCGGGTTCATGACTATGCCATGCCCAAGCCTTTACCACTAGGCTGGAAGATCTTTGACGAAAATAACACTTTTCGTTTCTTCAATTTCAAAATTACAAGATGTTTGTCATGGTTTATAAAAATGTTTAGGTGAGGAGTATTTTCGTCATTTTATCAAAAAATTTATCTTTTACCTAATCAAAATCGGATTTATGATTTTAATCAATATGGTTTTTGATTGAGTAGAAGACAAAAAAAATCGATAAAATAACAAAAATGCCCTTTATTCAACGGAAAATTTTAACATCTGTTAAAGATAGAGATAAATCCAGACGTTTTTGCAAGATGGGTATCTTGTAATTTCGAAACTGGGTTATTTTGGGAAACCACAAGGGACCAAATTTGTAATTTAGGAGCCGTTTACCAAACGCTTATCCGGGTAAAGGCTTATCAAGTCACGTTACCTCACCGGATTAATATTGTAAGGATCAATAATTTTATCCGATAAGAATGAGACAATGACCAAGAGTCTTACATAGCAAGTGAGAGCGAAAACTCTTACCACGGTAAACGCTTACCGGGTAAATTATTGTATACGATGTCGTTTTGGTGGATTAAGATCTTACACATTAAATAAATAATAATGTTATATTTTACCGATAAGTATTTGATAAACGGTACTTACTCTTTTATTTATTTATTTACAGAAAATCGAAAAAAGTGTCACAAAAGTCCTCTCAAACGCTTTCCACAAAACGGGTCGGTTGGGACCCGGATGGTCGTAGTTTAATATACGACGTCGGTTCACGTCGTAAAAACTTATAAAGTGAGGGCTGGGATTTCAGTTATCATCATCACCCATCAGTTCGAAACCCTCGTTGTTGGTTCTTCTTCTCTTGTATGCACATACCACTCGGTAGCCACACAGACCACACAAAGATCAGCCAAGGTGGTGATGATGATGATGATTACTATTTATTGTCTGCAATACATATGATCTTGTTAGGTTTTTCAATTCCATTGAAGAAAAAACCCTAAGGTACGTGTAATTTCTGTCTTTTGCTATGCTCAAATGCATGTGTAGCTTGACGTGTAAAAATTGAATCATAATGCAACCCGAAATGTTGTTTATTTTTGGTAAAATTCAATTCAAATGTATTTTTTTTACGCTGTGGATGCATGATGTGGTGAATCTTTGAATGAGTTCGTTTGTTTGGGAATTGAGTTGATGTTATTATTTCTCTTTCTAAAGATTGTTCTTTTTGTTTATTGGGGGGTTTTCTTTTGTAGGGTCGTGTTTTGATGAGAGGCATGAAATCATTTGACAGGAACGTGAAAATTTGTCACGCTGGAAGCGATTATTGTTCAATATTTGTGAGTATTGGTTTATTAGAATGATAAACGTTGTAATTAGTACAGTCAGTAAGAGATATGGCACAACAATCTTCTCGGCTCCAACGGCTGCTAACTTTACTGGAGAGTATCCTTCATATACAATCTTTTTTTTTTCTTTCTGTACGCTTACTACCAGTATTTTAGACGTTTATTTTATGAAAAATGGAACGAATTTTGTGTAATAAATTTATGTACCTAATGCAGAGTTGTCCTGGACTTGTCATTATTTGAATAATTTCAGATTAACTTATTTAAGCTGGCCTCCAATTGATTACTCTCAATTAGTTATATGATCTGATAGTTGTAAACACTTTATTTAGGAATAATGTCTCGCACTTGCTAACCTTTAGATGTTCTCATCAAGGAAGTGGATGGGGTAAGCTGTATCTATTGCTAAATCATACTTTGAAGGCCTGTAGTGGTACAATATAGGATTTAGTTAAAAACATCACTAGGCGTGGTTTGGATAGATTGAAGGTGTTAAAGGACCTTTGTACTAGGTGGTCAAATCTAACACAAGATGTTAAAGTACGTGTGACGACGAGGTGGGGCTTGGAGTGTTGAGGATAAAGTTAATAGGATGGAAAAAGAAATAGCAACATGTATCCAAAAGGTAATAATGGAGGTGGTTAGAGAAAGTAAATAAGTAATAGATAAAACAAAGGACACTTGATGGTGAAATGGGTAGGTACAAATGACGAAGGATAAGAAATATGCTTTATTGCCTTGCATGATCGTAAGAGTGTAGATCTAGGGTCTTATATGTTCCTCTGTAGAGAAGGGAGTATAGGGGTAAGAAAAGAGGTTATAAAACCTCGGATGACATACTAAAAGAGAAGGGAGTCTAGGGGAATGATTAATTTTTTAAGGATAGTAATGGAGAGGTGGAGGGAGAACCAAGAAAGAATAAAGTAGGTAAAATTAGATTTTCTAGTATTCCTTAAAGGGGTTTGTAGTGTGTTTTATGAGTGTGAACCAGGAAGCAAAACATGTGGTAAACATTTGCTCTTTGGGATAGGCATAACAAGGTGATGGAGATATTAATGAGGATGCTGGTCATAGGTGAAAATAAATGGATAAAAATGATGATAAGCTTCAGGAGTCTTACATGATAGAAAAGTTCCATTGAAGTTGAAAGCTAAGAACCACTATATGCTGGTAGGACTTGCTGTTATTTACGGGGCATAATGTTTGGTTGCAGTAGGAGACCAATGGCGTTTCCGTGGGGAGGGTAGAGAGCATATCGGTTGAGGGTGTGAGGAGGGGCATGCTGAGGAGGACGTGAAACGAGCAACTGAGGCTAGACGTGGCAGGTTTAGACCTTAACGAGAACATGACTTCTAATAGAAGTTCTTGGCGACACAAGATTAGGGTAGCAGATATTTATATGGACTAGTAGCTGTTGTAGAAGGAGGAGGGGAATAAAGCCGGCAGTAGGATGGCATGTAGGCCCTGGTACTTCCCTTTAAGTGGCTTGGTGTTTTCGTGTTTTACCATCGGGCTTATGTACTTGCTGTGACTGGTTTTGTTTGTGTTAATCACGTAGGCCCTTGCTACTGTTAATGTTGACTTGACTGATGCTGTATTGTTACTATTCTTGTTGCCTTGTTGCCTTTTTGCAGATATTGTTCTTTTATTTATTTAATTTTTCCTATTAGGGGTGTCCATGGAAACAACCTTTCTACCTCGAGGGGAGGAGGTATGGTCTACGTGCATCTTCCCCCCTCCCTGCAACCTTTCTTCCTCCAGGGGAGGAGGTATGGTCTGCGTATATCTTGCCTCCAGATCCCACTTCCAAGTGAGATTATGGGTATGCTTGGCTCGTAATATTGGCCTCTAAAAGACCCATGAAAAGATGTATGCAAGCTTGGTATTTTAAATTGATATGGCTATGTGGCCATACAACAAATATGGTGTATAAATAAGATAGATGGGAGAAGGATGGGGTGATGCCATATTGAGGAGTTGTGTTAGCATCACTTAAGATGATAAGGTTGTTTCCAACGAAGATCTGTGAATGCACCAATCAGGAGAGGAATCTTGTTACGAATGGGGGTTGTGAGGAGAGGTGTAGGTCAGCCAAGATTGACATATGGGGTGGTAATGAAGAGAGTTGGGTGAGTGGGATGACCATATGAGTTGGTCTTAGTTAATAGTGCATGGAAGGTTGCCATTCATGCCTTAAAACCCCAGGATTTTGCATGCTCTCGCCATCTTTGGTCCAATTTATCTAGTTTTGGATTAAGTTTTTTTTTTTTTTGTTTTTCGGTAATTCATTTCTTTTCTTCGAAACTTAGCTGGCTTAGAATTAGTAGATAATATGGATGTTTACTTTTAGTATCCATGTTGGATACGTGTTGTATTTCTTGACCTTGTCTAAGCTGGCTCCACACAAGCTACAAGATTCACTGCAGCTCGCCAGATAGGGGAAATTGCAAAATTACATCCTCAGGACTTGAGCTCTCTGCTACATAAGGTCTGTATTGCTTCATTGATTCTTCTTTCTGTCACCCCCTTTATATGTAGGTACTCATTAGAATTGTTTCTCCTTGGTGTTAAGTGGCTTATGCATTAGGCATACCTCTGATGTACACGTTGTTGTTCTTCCACTACATTATCTGCATAGATTCAAAATTCTCAATCTGAAACAAGTATCATGATATACTACTATTTCAACTTCAAACGTATCCTTGGAAAGCAATGGATGGACATAAATTAAATTTTGGGCATTTTGTTACTGGTCAACAAACGTCAATTTCAGGAGTAAGGGACGATTAGATTCTTTATTTCTTCACTAAAAAACTTAAAATGTTATTTATAATAAGCAATACACTGGAGATAGCTAGGGCATTGCATGAGCCTCACCATAACTTGTAGTTCTCAGTCCCTATCTCCAGTCCTAGTCTTGTTGCTTATCTCTCTCCGTATGCTTAATTAGCGAGAAAATAATAATAGCAATATGGAGGCTATAGGGCCCCACATCCATGTAACCGAAGCCAGTTTCTAACATAGTTAATCAGTAGATACTATCACTTTTAATAACGAAAAGGCACTCTTACCTTTGTTAATACATTTCCTGGTTGTATATAACATTGCTTACTAAATTGTTTTGATGAGGAATCTCTCATGTAACGTATACTGAACCACGTGGAATGGGGCATATGTGATCAATTATGCTGTGAACGTTTGTTACGTAGATAAGTGGTATGCAAATATGCCATGCACACCAAATTGCTTCATGATTCTTGTGTTTGCCACTTGGTACTTGTTTGTATGTGCTTGTATTTGAATGGGTGGAATGGAGTACTTTAAGAAGGTAGACCTTAGAACCTGAAATGATGCTTCATATCATTAGTTTGTTAGATTTGGTACAACCATTTAGGAGCAATTTTCAATTTTCACTATGTAGTACAAGTTGAAGCATTAAATTAGTTTTGTTTTATTTTTATTTTATTTCAGGGGTCAGATTATGGCAGTTCTCCATTGAAACTTGGTTTAACTATTACTTATTGCATTCTTCAATTAATTCAGCCAACTATTTTGTGTGTTACAGGTCTCTCAATATCTTCGCAGCAAAAACTGGGATACGAGAGTTGCGGCGGCTCATGCCATTGGAGCAATTGCCGGGTGTTTTAAACATTCATCAATGACAGAACTCTATAATCTTGTTGAGGCAAAGATGAAGGAAGCTTGCATAAATTGTGCTGTCGAGGATGTCGTTTTGTGGCCAAAGTCTCATCCCAAAATAAGTGCAAGCACTTCGTTTCAGAGGTTATTCTTGCTCCCTCGCCTAGTCCTGTTCTTGCTCTCATTTGAGTGATCAATTTGATATTTTACTTGGACGTCTTTTACTTTTTTCATTGAATAGCTTTGAACTCACTAAAGTCTTGGAATTTGGGGCTCTTTTGGCATCTGGGGGTCAGGTACTACTTTTTTTAACAACTGTTAGCTTAAGCTCTATTATTAGCCAATATCTATTTCATAGATAGTACAAAGTTTATTTTCTGGCCTTCTTTTATTGTCCCACTCTTCAGATTTATTCATGTGCGTGGATAAGGCTGCCATAATTGTAACTTGTGTTGTTAAGTTATAATCTTATATGTGCTATGCCCCCACTACAAACCCTGATTTTTTAAAAATAACTGAGAAGAAAAGGGGACTACGTTACCATTAGTTGTGAGAACTGAGAAGCAAGATGGTGGTTTTTTTCTGTCATGCCAGGAAGTGAGTTTGATTGTTGCCATGGTAGGTTCAGGATTGATCTTCATATTTTTGTGGATATATGCAAATCTTGATATAGTTCTGTTTTAGGAGTTTGAAGTTGCAAGTGATTTCATCAGCAACCCAAAAGAAAGATTGGCCAAACAAAAGCAAAATCTTAAACGGCGGCTGGGTAAGTCATGAATTTGTCATTACCTTCAGTTGTATTTGCATCTGTACTTATCTGTTATGATTCCTTTGTTGGTATCTTAATGAGTTCTCTTCCCGAGCAATGCAAAAAATGGTTAAGGATAGACTCTGCACACTGATGAACTAGAAAGCTTGTTTGGTACTAAACTGCATATGATTTTTAGAAATACTCTTCTAAGTTAGGAAGAGCTACACTTTTTGATCAATATTGCAAGACACCTTCTAGAGGTAATTAAATCATGATGGTTTGATCAGAATTTTTATTAGCATAAGCAATGGTTATAGTTAATATAAGAATAATAAAAAAGAAAAGTCAGTAAGAGCTAATGCTGTCCACACACCATTGGTGTCGACACTCGACAGAGAAGGAAAGAATTTATTAATCTTCTACCGTCATTTGTTAGGATTACAAAAAGGTCCTCTAAGCTCCTACATCTTATTATGCTCCTCATACAGAAACCTACTTTATTTCAGAAACTTTCAACGGTTGCTCTGTTCACTGTTATCAACCATTGTATGTGTTATGATGGGTTTGATTACCTATAATTTTCTGTTTGATTCATTCTTGAACCTACTCTAATTAGTTTTTGATGAAATTGCGTCTGTTAGTTTCACAACTGGTATAGATCTTTAGTTGTCAATAGCTCCATTAAGTGATTAACATGCCGGGTTCGTCATCGGGACTTAAAAGGTAAGAGCCTAAAGGGGGCTAATTAGCCCGACCACTTATTTGGTTTGATTTGGATCCATGAGAAGCTCAGTAAAGTGTAAACAAACAGGTTGTACAGCTAAAAGTAGGAAAGTTGATGTGATGCAATAACTCGTTCAAAAGGCAGTTATCTGGAAGCGAATTTAATAGAAGTCCATGTTTGTAGCATTTGGGCAATGCTATCAAGCAAGCAGGTCTTCTGAACAAGTATTTTTGCTTGTGCTTAGTTATTTATCAACCATACAACTGTAGCATAAAATAGTATTAGTTCAAATTGCATGGCATCAATCCTTCTCTTTTTGCTATATTGCCCTACCACTTATATCTAATTACTTGCATACAGGGATGGATGTATGTGAGCAGTTCATGGATGTAAATGATATGATAAGAGATGAAGATCTTATGATGCATAAAACAAATTCCACTGGGACTGGAGTGGCTCCTCAATTTTACCTCCAAAGATCTGGTCGTAATGTCCAGCAGTTTGTTGTTGATGTGGTGCCTGGTTACAGGCCAAGGAGGCCAAGTGCTCGGGAGCGTAATCTCTTAAAGCGCAAAGCTAAAATAAGCTCAAAGGACCAAACAAAAGTTTGGTCTAAAGATGGAGAACCGGATGTGTCAGGCACTCAAGAGTTGATTTCACCAAAAGGCATTTCTCCAGATCTACCGAGTGCCAATTCGGTAATGAATATTGAATCATTGGCTATATGCTGCTCTTATTTATAGTATTTGTTGCCAAGCAGCTTCCACTGCTCGTCATTCCTCTTGAATGAGCTTACAGGATTATGTTTGACAATTTCCATCAATTTATACCCGTTAATTTGCTTTGTTCAGTGTTAGAAAGACTTCCTTTTGACTGAATGGGTACTTGTACTGTAAGTTGTGTTGTGAACATAAATATTATAGCATGCTGCATCACTAAGTTTTCTCTGCACTATGTGAAACTATGTTTGAGGAGTATCAAATATTGAAATAATATAAATCTTCATCAATCCTTGCATTACCTTTTTGATGTAGGCTGTCAGGACGTCCCCTGTGTTTTCTATCCTTTAGTATTAACAATAATGACTTATTATATCTAACCACTTTTTTCTAAAAGGAAGGTTCTGGAGGTACTAGGTTAAGCTTAAGTTAAAATCATTGCCTTCCAATCCTTACAGATTCATTTGTTATGCTTCTGCTTTGTTAGTCCTATTTGGAGGTTAGATGCAAATCTTTAAATGCTTCTCGCAAATATTGACGCAGTTGTTTCAGGATGCTATTCCTGATGAAGACGTCCCTGAGCATGAAAAAGATGGAACCTGGCCTTTCCACAACATTGTCGAACAACTTATCCTAGATATTTTTGATCCTGGTAAGCTGCTGGTAATAGATGTTCATTGTAGTAGTTTTACTATCCTGCCAACACATAATGTTCTTAGATTAATGCTGCCAGTTTGGGAGGTGCGGCATGGCAGTGTAATGGCTTTAAGAGAAATCTTGACACATCAAGGTGGCTGTGCGGGAGTTCTTATGCCAGATAACAGCTGTGATGGTATATTACTACCTGAGTCAGGAGATAAGATGAAAAGTGCCGTGAAGAGAGAAAGGGAAATTGATTTGAACATGCAAATCATGTCAGATGAAACTGAGCCAGACCTCAAGAAGCAGAAGCCTGAAGATGCATCATTCGACCAGACGCATGCATTGGTCTCCACCAGCAAGGATGCTAACTTTGCAACTAGTACAGTGGTTGCAGATGTTGGATGCAATCTGTCTGTTGGACAGACAAATGGTGAAATGATTGTAAATTCTGTTAAGGCCGAGCCCCAGTCATGTATCGACAGTGTATCTTATCCACCTACTGAAGCTGCAGACGTGTCACGGCCAACAAATTGTTTTGATAACAAAGATTTGGTGGAGAAGGTAGACATTGTGGAAGGTCTTCCCCGAAATAGTGAGCTGGTGAACTTGATTAAGAGGGCTAGGAATTCTTCCCTCAAAAACTCAGAACTCCTTCAGGATTGTGGAATTCGTTTCCTGTGTGTGCTGTCACTCGATCGGTAATTTACCTTTTTCTTCAACCACTTCTTACTTCTTCATCTAACACTGAACTCAAGAATTAGTTGGTCATGCGTAGATTACGTAATAGAGACTAGAGAGGAACTTTCTAAGACTTTCTGATAGATTTTTGTATGCCACTCATTATGCTCGTTCAATTATACATAAGGAAAGACCTTTCAATGTGCAAGGTTAGGTGGTCATTTTCTTTGAAGTATATAATATTTATATACGGCAAATGCAACAAATAAACTCACACACCCTCCTCACCTTTGGCGAGGTTGGAACCCCTGACCTTCTACGAGGCCAAGTACTACGATACCGCTAGGCCAAAGGCCCTTTGGTTTAGGAGGTCATTTTGTTACAGAAAACCTTTCAAATAAAAGACGACCGGGTTTAGTAGAGCCTATCCAATTAAGGAAATTAATGCGCTTAATATAGGGCAAAAAATATTGCACTGTTGTTGACTGGAAACTTGTAACCATTGATTGGCTGCATGTTTGCAGTTTTGGAGACTATGTCTCTGATCAGGTTGTTGCTCCGGTTCGTGAAACTTGTGCACAGGCATTGGGAGCAGTGCTGAAGTACATGCATCCTTTGCTAGTTCATGAGACACTGAATGTCTTGCTGAAAATGCAGGTAGATATCATGCTCAAGTTTTTTTTTCTCCTGTTAAGTTCAGTGGTTCATATGTCAAATATTTTGTTGCTTATTTCATGCAATATCTTATTGGTCTATGCTGTTGATTTCTTCTGCTGATCCTTCCAGCGTAGACCAGAGTGGGAAATTCGCCATGGCAGTCTTTTGGGTATCAAATATTTGGTTGCCGTGCGTCAGGTACTCTTTTCACGGGACTCGAACATCTTCAAATCTATTTCTTTTTTCTTTACTATATGCATGTAACATATCTTGATCAAATTATGTTCTTGTTTAGATTCTGAATGCTTGAAGTATTCTAGTATGAGCTGTGATGCCTTCTCCAAGTAGGGATAATTTTATGCTATTGTAGTCCACTTAAATTTCCAAAAGATTTCTTATCTATTCTGAAAATTTGTGTCTAATTACTGCAATGAAGAGAGAATGATGAAGAAATCAAGGGTGGCTCTGTGCACCAAGGCTCCTTGGCTCTTTGGGGTCCGGTAGGAATGTCTTTTTGAAGGGGACCTTGTGCAATGGAGCAGTTTTTCCCTTGCATATAATTTTTCATGACATGTATCAGCAACCACAAAGGAGTAGCGTTATGAGTTGCTCCAAGGCTAGCCCCATGAACAAGATATTCCAATGGGGTAGAAAGAGGGATGGAATATCTGTGCACACTAGCAAGAGAGGATGAGAGGGACCATGTGCTAGTTCGTGATCTGTCTGATCATGACAAAGAGTAGCATTGGTCATTTCTCCTTCTAGAAACATATCTAATGGAAGTAGGTGCATAGAATAGCCAAAATTTTGTATGATGCATAAATGAACCAAACTGTTGTCACCTCACTGTTAAAAGATCAGCAATCTTTGTTCAAACTTCATATACTGCGTGCTTTTATGCTTCTTTGTTCATCTCCTCTTCCAGTGCATTTCTCTTTTCTTCTTATTTTCAGTGGTCTTTTATGCCTTTGTGTGGTTTTCTTTGTCTTTGCAATGTATATCATTGGATAAAGTATAAACAAGTTTTGAGTTGTGTTTCTTACATCTCTTATCCTTCCATCGATATAAGGACATATCAGGTAATATTTGTATCTCTCTATAAATAGCTAGACCTTAAAACTTCTCCCTTACGGCTCACGCTTTAAACCCTCCTCCGTTCTGCCTCTATCGGAGTACTGTTGGTTGCTGCACTGGAGGCTTGTACTTGCTACATATTGGAGCTGTGTGCAACTCTGTGTGTGTGTGTGTGTGTTTATACACACTTTTTTTGGTAAGATGTGCCTCAATTCCTGAGGCCCGTGCCTCACGCCTAAGCCCCGGGACCCCTTTGCGCCTAAGTGCACCTTAAGCCTTTAACAACTTTGTATGTGAGCCTCTATCTGTTTGGCCTTAAACTAACGAGCCTCCTATTTGTTTGCCATCATGTTTTTGTCACCTTTTATTCCTAGTAATACAACAGCTTTTAGTTTAGATAGTTTATTCACAAGTTCCTAGGGACTAACAGGAGTTGCTGCAACTCTGTGTGAGGGGCATGGAGGTATTCGTTTTAAAATATTTGTTGCTGCAAAGAAGGTTAGTGCCATTTTTGGTATTTTTGGGTGCTGGAACTGCACTCTGCCATCAATACCAGCGTAAGCAAGGGGCGTGAACGAGCTAGATACTGTGTGGGTGTATACACCGATGGCTGTTCAATAGTCAGCTTCTTATTCTTTTATGATTTGAACGATTTGATGAAATTGATTATGTGGTAAACCTCTAGTTATATTGTTCTTTTATGTTCATGAACGCCATTTGTTGAGGGGTGTTAGCATGCAAAAGACTCGTGTAATATCCTAGTCATATTTATCAATATCATACAATTGTGACATGTCCACCCTTTTACTATGATAGGTCTTCACAGAAACATCAAATTGATTTATACATATGAGCAAAAGATGACAATTGAAGCAGATTCCAATGTGAGATTTAGTACACTTTTTAGGACATCATCAAGAAACATAAAAAATGCATTCAAACCTCAATAGACTCGAGATAACCAGGATGGTAATACCTCTATCCTGGCTCACTCCTAGGTGGGAGAGAAGAATGACTGTGCTTATGTATTTTACAATGCACAATGCAAGCTGGAAAAAGACTCATGCCATGATCGTAATTTCTTCAAATGCTTGAAAGAAGGATGACTCACTTGGCTTCTGCAGATTTTAGCTATACTACTGTCAGATAAGTAGTTTTGGAAGAACCTCTAAACTATATGCAATAGGCTAGAGATAACGCTGCAAGTTCTTGGGTGGCCTTGATCACAGTTCGCTTTACTGGGTCCGCGGTACTTGGTATTCCCATAGAAGCATTTGCTTGCAGATCCTTGCTGTGACTGGAAAGAAACTTGACGCCAAACATTGATATTTCTTATACTAGTGCAAAATATTTACCAATACCGGTGGGCTGTAGTGAAGGCTCAATGAATATAATTGGTTATTGAGGTGTTTCTGGTGAAATGCATTGATGTCATTAGGGATATGTAACTGCCATTCTTGGAGATATGATCCATGTTTAAAGTGGCTGTGAGTGACTTATTGTGAAATCGACCCTGCTTTGTATGCCGACTGCCAGTGTTACCCAATTCGTCTACTGCAGGTGGTCCAAATTGTGGACCTCAATATTAAAATAATCTCTATATGTCTAAGCATTACCCTGTTTATTTATTTCAATTGATTTGTTATTGTGAATTATTAGGTTTCTATGCCGACCAATCATACTTCTTAATAATCTCTTTGATCTCTTCCTGTGTGCCATTGTAGCCTTGTTCCGTTACACTTTGATTGATTGCAATAATTCCTTTACTTCCCCTTTTCGGGCTTACTGCTTTCTGTCAATCAAGGTAGTGCTAACATGATTTTCATCTTGAACAGGAGATGCTTCCTGATTTGCTGGGCCGTGTCATTCCTGCTTGTAAAGCAGGTCTGGAAGATCCTGATGATGATGTAAGAGCAGTTGCTGCAGATGCCTTAATTCCCACTGCATCTGCCATTGTTTTACTTAGTGGAGATATATTGCATTCTATCGTGATGCTACTGTGGGATATCTTGCTAGACTTGGATGATTTGAGCCCATCCACCAGCAGGTAATCTTTTTATTTCTGATTTCCTACTCTCTTTTGGAATTTTCGTTTTGTTTTGAACAATTTACATGCATTTGACTTGCACAAGATGGACAAAAATGTACATGAGTTCTAAACCTAATCTTTAGCTTATTAGTAAAAAGATTGGTTTTCCTGAAACATGCTTGTATCATCAATCAAAGCAAAGATATGTTCTTGCAAGGTGGAAAAGCAAGCCAAAGTCTTAGAACCTTAATGAAATTGTTGTTATACCCTTAGTCTGTACTATTAGAGAAATTAGAGAACACATATATGAGTTCGTTTAGGTAAGCGATATGCAGATGCCTTTGTATTGAGCCAACTTTACCATAGTGCTGGATAGTTCAAGTTTAAAGTTGAACAAAGGAAGTATTCATGATTTCACTTGGTCGAATGTAGCAGAATTGCATGCACTGAACATAGTAGCAAAAATGGGAAAGAGTTTGTATTATGCAAAATATACCATATGCAAATCTTCCCTAATGTTTGATAAGGATGACTTTGTGTACATGCTAAGTTGGCTGACTAAATTATTCAGTGTCTGGTTCCTTATTCAGTTGTTTGGTTTGTGGGTATAATAGTTGACCCAGTAAAACCTTATGTGCATAGCCTATTGAGTGAGTAGGTTCATTTGCTTATTAGATGTCAATGGAACATTAGTGGAGTCAATAAACGTGTAGATTATAATTTGAGTTAGAATAAGTCAACTATATTCAGAAAAAGAGAGAAAAGGACCATGCATCAGTATGTACTTCATTACATCTGTTCACATTAGATTGCTTAATAATGTCTTTTTTTTTTTAAATATGGAATTTTAGAATCTTACAAGGTTGTTACTATGAATTGAATTGGCTATCGACAAATATTCTAAAGAGCATTTTGTTTACCTTACAGTGTGATGAATCTACTAGCAGAAATATATTCTCAGGAAGAGATGATTTCTAGGATGTTCTCAGCCCAGGAGTTCAAAGGAAAACAAGGATTTGATCTGAATGAGATTGTTTCTACTGATGATCTTGTACGCACGGGGAATTCTCAAGATAACCCCTACATGCTGTCAACGTTAGCTCCAAGGTTGTGGCCATTTATGAGGCATAGTATCACATCAGTTCGTTATTCAGCCATTCGCACATTAGTAAGCTTCTCTCTCATTTCATCTACATTTTGTTGTTTAAAATGTTTTTAACTAAATCCTTTGGCCTGAATTTGTAGCGTAAATGTACTTCGTTTGAGGATAGTTTTATTCATCACTTCCTATATGTTGCTGTACTTGTAGAACATGCAGAAATAGACATACCTTCCGATGATTCAACTAATATTATATGTGCAGGAGCGGCTACTTGAAGCAGAACACAGAAGGAGTATATCTGAATCTTCTAGCTCCTTTTGGCCTTCTTTTATATTGGTTGACACTCTTAGAATTGTCTTTCAAAATCTGCTGCTCGAATCGAACCAGGAAATTTTACAGTGCTCAGAGAGGGTCTGGAGGCTGCTTCTCGAGGTGATTGATTTGACAATGCATAATTTTTATTGGAAATTTTATTCCTTCATGCTCTCTATGTTCTCATACTGTCGATGTAGTTGAATTTATCAGGCATGGTTCCCATACTGGCATTAATGCATTTGACCAAACTGGTGTTCAACTATTCAACTGTAAATGCATTTGATTGTGTCACGAGTTTTTTGCTGTTCCTTCTGTTTACATAGTCATTATAGTTGCATATTTTTAAGACATGGACTGTACTGTCATTAGTGCACTTGAACAAGTCGTGTTGACTATTTACAGTAATATGCATTTTGAGTTTCTTATGAGACATGTAAGAGATTATTGAACTAGTGGTATTCGACTCTTCATTCTAAAATTTCCTTTGAATTGATGGTAGTGCCCAGTGGAAGACTTGGAAGCTGCTGCGAGCTCATACATGGCATCTTGGATAGAGCTTATAACTACTCCATATGGATCACCGCTGGATGCTACAAAAATGTTTTGGCCTCTTGCACTTCCTCGTAAAAGTCATTTCAAAGCTGCTGCAAAAATGAGAGCGGTGAAGCTTGAAAATGGTCTGTATGCCAATGTCGTCTCAGATTCTGCTGAAGGAATTCTTACTCAGGATAGAAATGGAGACGGTTCAATGAGTTCTGTTAAGATAATCGTAGGTGCAGATAGTGAAATGTCAGTTACTAATACTCGAATAGTTACAGCCACAGCATTGGGAATTTTAGCATCCAAGTTGCATGATGTTTCTGACCAGTATGTGTTTGATCCTTTATGGAAGGCTATTACCTCTTTATCGGGAGTTCAGCGACAGGTATGGTCATTAGTGGTTGTCTCCTATGAACTGGTAACTTCTATCTATCAACTTTTTTTATTTTTTATAAGTTTCGGTTACTGTTCTCATCAGGTGGCTTCCTTGGTTCTGATTTCTTGGTTTAAAGAGATGAAAAACAGAGGCCTTTCTGGAAGCAAGGGACTTACCTCTGGCAACTATAATACCATAAAGAATAGGTTGTTGGAGTTGCTAGCATGTACAGATCCAGCATTCCCTACAAAAGTTCCACATCTTCCTTATGCTGAACTTTCAAGAACCTATGATAAAATGCGGAATGAGGCATCTCAGCTGATTAGTGTACTTGAATCATGTGGCATGCTCAATGAAGTCTTGCCATCTAAGAAAATGGATGTGGAGAATTTGACTGCTGATGATGCAATGACCTTTGTTTCAAATTTGCCAGTGCTAAGTAATGATGGTGCTGCTGGGGAAGATTCAGTTGGGAGGAATAGCATTGATGAAGTAGAGTCTATAAAACAGAGACTTTTGACCACTTCAGGCTACTTAAAATGTGTTCAGGTGTGGTTGAAGTGAATTGCTTCCATTTTGCTACCGAAATAAATCTTATTGCTCATATGTGGAACCTGAAACTCCCTAATTTTTTTTATTGATAATCAGGTTCTGTATGTATACTTAAAAGGAGGAAATATTCCTTTGTTAGCATCTTTATATTCTCTCACATTTCCTACTCCCATGAAATTTTCAGAGCAATTTGCATGTTACTGTATCGGCCTTGGTTGCTGCTGCAGTTGTTTGGATGTCTGAGCTTCCTGCTAAGCTTAATCCAATTATATTACCCTTGATGGCCTCAATTAAGAGAGAACAGGTATTCTTATATAGATTTACTTAATTTTACTTACAGGATGCTTACATTGTTTTAATTTGTTGCTTCATTTCAAAGGAGGAAGTACTACAAAATATGGCAGCAGAGGCCCTCGCAGAGCTTATATTTCATTGTGTTCTACGTAAGCCTGGTCCCAATGACAAGCTAATCAAAAACCTGTGTGGTTTGACATGCATGGATCCTTGTGAGACTCCTCAAGCTGGAGTATTGAGTTCAATAGAGATTATTGAGGAACAAGATCTCCTTCCCTTTGGAAGCAATTCTACTAAAACAAAACCCAAAGTTCACATGCTGGCTGCTGGTGAAGATAGATCAAAGGTTGAGGGATTTATATGTAGGCGAGGATCGGAGTTTGCTTTGAAGCATTTATGCGATAAGTTTGGTGCTTCATTGTTTGAGAAGCTTCCTAAGCTATGGGATTGTCTTACCGAGATATTGAGGCCTATGACACCAGGAGATGAAGTGCTTGTTAGCCAAGCAATAGATTCTATTAAAGACCCCCAAGTTTTGATAAATAATATCCAGGTACGACCTTGTTTCTCCTTTGTCGTTGTATCCTATTCTTTCTATTTGCTATGAGTTACTTGCAAGTATGTTTTATTTAACATGTATGAACTGTTCATATGTGTACAAAAGGTAAACATAATTTCGTATTATTTTATTATGCAAAGAATGTATATGTATATATATTACTACTAGGATAGTACTTCAGGATGCCATGGAAAAGCAACTAGAAAGATAAACCCCAAAAATCTAACTTTAGCTAACACTCCCCCTCAGTTGGAGCATAGATATTAATCAATGCGCAACTTGTTACAAAGATAACCAACCCCAACCCTATTTAACGCTTTCATGAAGATGCTGTCTGATTGTTCTCCAGTCTTAACTTATCTTGTAGAAATTAAACCTTATTGAAAATTTCAATGTTAAGCAGTCTGCTCCTGAGATACATAGAACTTGTTTTCCTTTTGTACATGGTATTAGAGCCATTAGCAGTGAATGCAACATATGCTATGTGTTTTTGCTGATTCTTGTATTGAAGCATTCTGCTCTCAAACTCCATGACCTGGTTTATGACAATAGTTGCATTAATGCTTGAGGTTCAAATCTTGGCAAGAAAACTCATAATATCCCATCTTCTCGTTGATTTTATTGAACTTCCGCATCCGGACTAAAAGACAGCAACATGTTAAGCTCTTCGTATGTCTTTTGCAAACCTCTTTTTATGCGGGCGAGATGGATGATCCAACCGACAATGAGCCTCAAACGGAGAAGTGCCACTTGAAAAAACAATATAATTTGTTGCGATTTGTCAAGAATGTAGACAACTATAGAATCATGTCCTTCACCAATAGTCTGCTTTGTCATAATATTCTAAAATAAACAATGGTAGGGAAAAAATTGAGGTACAACAGTTAAGATTAGGAGTTAGTTGGCTGAAGGATAAATTAGGTAAATGTAAGACAGGACAAATGAAGCAAATGGTTAGGATTGATTGTGCCAGACCCACGGATACGAGATGTTTACACATCGGTATAAAGTAATGGTATGAGTGGTGGCATGTGATAAGAAAGTAGAAAATTGTCAATAGTTGTGTTAGTGACTGTGAAGACGAGTGATTATACTGTGAGAAGGCGGCAATTTGGTCAGGAAAAACAAGGACTGATTTATCAGAATACATAATATGTTCTAGATACCAAAATTGAAAATAATGAACCTTGTTTTGTTATTAATATTAAAGCAACATGCAAATTGATTAAACTTATGAATACAATATTGGGAGTATTTTCTTTTTTCCGTTATACTAAAGCAAATGGACACCAGAAGGAACATAAAATAATAGCTATCATGTCAATAGAGTACGTTGCAAGGCTGTAAAAGTATCGTAAGTGTAACAGGATCTATAACAAAGGTAGGAGATTGCCTTTAAGCTACTGGAAGCCTTAATGTCAATAATGCTTTAAGCTACTGGAAGCCTGAACAAAGATCTTGTCAGCATAGTGGGAATGGGGTTTAAGTCGGGGTAGGAGTATGAACATGCATGCTTTTTACAGTAATAAGGAAACTTGAAGTTAGGTACACATATTTGAAATACGGGAAAGAAATACCATTAAGGTGATATTTCCAAAGGAGTTGCAAACGGGTCGTTGATATGCCAATTTGAGGTTTGTGTTATATGTGGCAAGGGTAGAAATTGATTCATCCCTAATTTACTCCTTTCTTTGTTAGATTTAGGCCGTCATACATGGCATTGCATATTTACATGTACAAAGAGTTGGTCCTCCGGCATTTTTAATTCGAAATGTTAAGTCATTAGTAAGACTTTGCTTCTTTTCATGGTGTGTCCTAGTTGTGTTCTAGATTCTCTTTTTCTACCTCAAAGTTTATCTGTTTGTTTTTACCGAAGCAAGTGAGATCAGTACCTTGAGTTGGCCAAATAATCACAACAACTTTTAACTTATTTTTAGTTTCTACCCTGACAGGTGGTTCGCTCTATTGCATCTATGCTAGATGAGACATTAAGGACTCAACTGATGATGCTTCTCCCATGCATTTTTAGCTGTGTTCGCCATTCACATGTTGCTGTTAGATTAGCTGCTTCAAGGTGTATCACATCAATGGCCAAGTCGATGACAGTTAACATTATGGGCGCTGTAATTGAGAATGTAATCCCTATGTTGGGTGATATGACATCTGTTAATGCTAGACAGGGAGCAGGGATGCTGATGAGTCTGCTTGTTCAGGGATTGGGCACTGACCTGGTTCCTTATGCACGTCTGTTAGTTGTTCCGCTTTTAAGGTGTATGAGTGATTGTGATCATTCTGTTAGACGAAGTGTGACACATAGCTTTGCTGCACTTGTACCTCTTCTTCCCCTTGCCCGTGGCGTCTCCCCTCCTGCTGGTTTAAGTGAGTGCTTGTCCAAAAATACAGATGATGCAGAGTTCTTGGAGCAACTTGTTGATAACTCGCATATTGATGATTACAAGGTCCCAACCGAGTTGAAAGTGACCCTGAGAAGGTAATATAATATTACACATGTGCAATTATGTTGATCAATGAACTCGAGAGTTGAGCCACTTAGTGTATACACAAAATAAAAATTATTAAGTAATTAAGCTCGTTAGAATTTTGAATGAAGGCATGTGTTTCGTAGTCATTTCTTTCTCTTGCTTCTATGTACCAAAATTAACTTTAGCAGGGATTTCCTACTAAATTTGGTCATGACACATGAGAGACTTTTCGAATATGTTTAATTGTCGAAACTGCATTTCATTTAAGTTTATCTTTTATGGCTGCAATATCTTGTACGCCTGAGTGTGTTGGATGGGTAGTCAACAAATTCAACACTGTAAAGGTGCTCAATTTCTAGCCTTTTTTAGTTTGAATCTGCTATGATTATGGTCACTGCTGCATATAAATCTAAGGAAAATTCCTTATGTGATACCAGGTAAACATCCGTTGTTTATAGTGTTAGTATGTTAGATTATCTTTGTGAATGGCATATTTCAATGTTGGATATATGATGAAGATTTTGTTATATGTGAACTGCATACTTACTAGAGAAGGCTCCAGTAAAATCTTTGAAAATATTACAGTGCCGAAATAAATTCTAGATGATGAATATCTCATACAGAGATTGAGAAAACAAATTACATGTACCAGGCAGGATATGAGTAGTTACAATTTGCCTAGATAGTGCCATTTTACTGAAACCTTGTTTAGTTAGTTATACATGTATCAAAACCTCAATTATGATACCATGTTGATGGTTTAAAACTAATTTCTACAATGTGAATTGCATTGACATGATCTTGTGTCGATATATTTTCTCTTTCTCATCACACATACAGACAACTGACACTTTTTTCTTTATTGTTTGATGCTCTTTTAATCCAAAATTCTTTTTTATTGTGTTTCCAACTCCAAAATGCTTGTATTTAACATGCTTTTAGTAGTTCTATGTAGTTACTATATTTTTGTTTCAACCAAACAATTTTTTAAAGTTCAATTTTGAATGCCCAACTTATTTGACACTCAGATGTTGTATATGGACTCATTTCTTAGGACAGTTTGAGCATTAGATTATGAGGTCACACTACTTTCTCTATAGCTCCTGGCTCATTCATTTTTAACTCCATCCTCTTGATTGTCACCTAGTTCTTAATGATTCTTTTGTGTCTATAGGTATCAGCAGGAGGGTATAAACTGGTTGGCCTTTTTAAAGCGCTTTAACCTTCATGGAATTTTATGTGATGATATGGGACTTGGTAAAACCCTACAAGCATCAGCTATTGTGGCATCTGACATTGTAGAGCGTCGGGCGTCGAGTAATGGCGAGGATCCTCCATCATTAATCATTTGCCCATCTACTCTTGTTGGACACTGGGTATATGAGATAGAAAAGTTCATTGAGGCATCTGTTATAACTACGCTTCAGTATGTTGGTTCTTCTCAAGAACGTGTTACATTGCGCTCGCAGTTTCCCAAGTATAATGTCATTATAACATCTTATGACGTGATTCGAAAAGATATTGATCATATGAGACAGCTATTATGGAACTATTGTATTTTAGATGAGGGGCACATAATTAAGAACGCAAAATCTAAAATCACGTGTGCTGTGAAACAACTGAAGGCCCAACACCGTCTTATATTAAGTGGAACACCGATTCAGGTTGTTTACTTGTTCAAGCCTTCTCTGCTCATTGAATGGAAGATCTAGTAGTTATTTAACAATGGTCTCATTTATGCAGAATAATGTCTTGGAACTGTGGTCTCTGTTTGACTTTCTGATGCCGGGATTTCTTGGAACCGAGAGACAAGTACGTACTAAATCATTCAAGTCTACCAACCATACCTTTCTGAAATTTCAACTATCTGCTGCAATTAATTCTAAAATACAGTTTAGTTTTTGTTTTCTGCTTTTGCAATCATACCTACTAGAATGGCTGCACCACTCACATGACTTGAGTATTCCTTGTCTTGTGGTTTGCTCAGGAACATGCTTTTACCAAGTGTCTACATTGCTTGGCCGCAATACCTCTGTGTTTTCTCTTTTTTATTTTTCTTTGATCATTGTTATGGCTGGTCTTTGTTGTCACAAATGTGTGACCTTCTGATGTTAGACCATAAGTAAGAATTACATATGCAAGGAGAGATAAACTTGGTAATTGTGTGTGTATATACCGATTACAATCAGGGATATATGTAAGAGATACATTTACACTCTAGACCCTCTAATATAATTATATATATATATATATATATATATATATATCACACTTAATTGTCTAATATTCCCCCGCAAGCTAAGGCCGGGGAGCGACCTGTAGCTTGGACCATAATAGGAGAAACCGTTGTGAAGGTAGCGGCTTGGTAAACACGTCTGCAATCTGATCATCTGTAGATATAAACTGAACTGAAAGCTTCCGTTGCGCAACCATTTCTTGAACAAAGTGAAAGTCAACTTCTACATGCTTGGTACGGGCATGAAAGACGGGATTAGCTGAAAGATACGTAGCACCAAGATTATCACACCATAAGGTAGGAACCGACTTCACAGGAACCCGGAGTTTGCGCGGTAGTGTTTGAAGTCATGTGAGCTCAGCAACAGTATCGGCTAGAGCCTTGTATTCAGACTCTGTTGATGACCGAGAGACAGTCCTTTGTTTTTGTGCAGACCATGATACTAGGTTTGAACCAAGATAGATAGCATATCCCCCAGTGGATCGACGGTCGTCAGGGGAACCAGCCCAGTCAGCATTGGAGAAGCCAGTCAGGGAGTTGTAAGCAGAATCAGTGTAGGCATGAAGGATTGTGCCTGAATCATGCATGATTCGTAAACCATAGTCAGCAGTGCCTTGCAAGTAACGAAGAATTCGTTTGACTGTCGTCCAATGATTTTCAGTGGGGGACTGCATAAATTGGCATACTTTGTTGACCACGAAAGTAATATCCGGACGGGACATGTCACATACTGAAGGGCACCCACAATTTGGCGGTACTTGACCGGATCAGCAAACGTAACGCTATCACCAAGAGCAAATTTAGCATTAGTGGTCATAGGAGATGAAGTCAGTTTAGCATTAGATAGGCCTGTGCGTTGCAAGAGTTCAAGGATGTATTTCCGTTGTGATAGAATCATATCATGACCCTGACTGGTCACTTCAATACCGAGAAAATAAGACAAGCAACCCATATCCTGAACAACAAAAGATTGGCTAAGACGTACCACTTTGTCAATAGCCTCCGGGTTGTTTCCTGTCCTGTTAGCAATAGTAAAGGTGGTCGGTTCGGTGTCAGGTAAAGGATGATGGGTATGGTATGAGGAGGCATTGTAAGGTTTGGTTTGTTTTGTTTGGGATTGGGGAGTAGGTTGGGTGGTCGAGTACGGGTGGGTTATTCGGTGGTAGAGGAGGGGGTAGGGGTAGGGGTAGGCTGCGGTGGTGGTTCGGTGATTGTGGAACGGCAGTGATAGGTGTGGATAAGGGGTGGTTGGGCCGTAGGGTGGTCATTAGGAGGGGTGGTGGTAGGTGTTGTTTCTTGTGGGACAGTTTGCACTGTAGGTGCGGTGGAGGGTGTCGGTTCTGGTGGAGCAGAATGTTCATTAGGTCCTGTGGAGGATGAAGAGGTAGGTGGGAGGTCATATTTGGGATAGATGGAGACGTAAGGATTTGGAGTGGTTGGAGGAGATGTTTGGAAAGAAAATGATTGTTCATTAAATTGAACATGACGGGCCACGTAAAGACAATCAGACTGTGGGTCGTAACACCGATAGCCATGATGAGCGGTGCTGTAACCAAGGAACACACAAGATGTAGAGCGGAAGTCAATTTTATGTTTATTGTATGGACGGAGATGAGGGTAGCATTGGCATCCAAAAACCCGAAAAAAGGAAAAATCGGGTTTGTGTTTGAACACATGTTCAAATGGTGAGGTGTTTGAGTTGGTCCTGGATGGCATTCGATTAATAAGATAGACTACAGCGTCAAAAGCAAAATGCCAAAACCGTTGTGGAACATGGGATTGAGCAAGTAAAGTAAGACCGGTTTCAACTACATGTCGATGTCGTCGTTCAACAAAGCCATTTTGTTCTTGTATGGGGACATGAGAGGCGATGGGTGATGCCAAGAGGAAAGAAGAATTGGGAGAGATTCCGAAACTCGCCTCCCCAGTCGGTTTGGACAGATTTCAGTTTGGTTTGAAAATGCCTTTCAACCATCACAAGGAATCGTTTAAAAGTGGCATAAACATCATATTTCAGTTTTAATGGAAGGATCCACATAAGTCTGGAGTAATGATCAACACAGCAGAAAATAATTGTGACCATCAAAAGAAGGAACAGGAGCGGGCCCCCATACATCACAGAAAACCAAATCCAAAATGTGCGAACTTTTATAAGTAGATGGTAACAAATGAAGTTTAGACGATTTGCCAACAGAACATGAATCACAAAAAGTACTAGCACACTTATTTTGTAAAGGTAAATGATATTTAGATAACATGGACTTCAAAAGTTGTGGATGTGGATGTCCAAGTCTTTGGTGCCATTTGGTGGAAGAGGCACGTGTGGTAGAAAACGACATTTTCTGAACAGGCTGAGGCTGAGGAGGACGGAAGGAGTAGAGACCACCATTACTTGGACCAGTGAGGAGGATAGTGTGTGTGAACTTGTCCTTCACAACAAAGAAAGTAGAGTGAAATTCAAAGTACACATGGTTATCAAAACAGAATTTTTGAACAGAAAGTAAGTTATGTTTTATGTCAGGTACGTGTAGTATGTCTTTAAGGGAAAAGGTTTTGTTTGGTGAATGAAATTGTGAGGAACCAATGTGTAGAATGGGTAAACCCTTACCATTGCCAACGTGAAGGTTGTCCCCACCGTAGTAGGCCTCAGAGTTATCGAAGCTAGATAGGTCCGGTGCAACATGATGGCTAGAGCCTGTATCCGGAAGCCAAGCTTGTGACCGGTAATTTGTAAAGTTGGCAGAAGGTGGTTGTCTCGTCCTCATAGGAGCAGGGTCGCGATTGGGGCAATGAGACGGGATATGACCAATCCCACACCTATTGCATGTGCCAAAAACAGTGTTTTGATTAGAAGCCCAGCTAAATTGATTACGGTTACCTCCTCCTTGATTTCTGTTGTTGTAGTTTCCTCGTCCGCGTCTAGAATCACGTCCACGGCCACGGTTATTCTCAGATCTGTTGGTGTAAAAGGCATGTGCAGGCTGTGCATTAACAGGCTGAACTTGAAGACCAAGTTGTGACAGAAGCTGTTGAATAGCTTGAAGTTGATCCGGTTGAGGAGTAGACGAGGTGGCACCAGGAACCGCTGAGTTGCGGTTGTTCGTGACAGTCGAGAATGCTTGAGGCGGAGAGATGTCAGTTGCAGATTTCTTGATCATGTAGTCATGGTCTGATAGCAGGCCATGAAGTTCTGCAAAGGCAGTTGGGAATTGGCAACCAAGGAGTGTTAACTTCAGCCTGTTGTATTCTTCTCTAAGACCCGAGATAACCAGCATCACCAAATCTTTTTCTTTCATTGGTTCGCCTATATTAGCAAGAGCATTAGCATATTCTTGAGCCTGAGCTCTGGTCAGGTATGCGGAGGAGGTTTCAGCTGAGTTTTTAGGGTGTATTCCCTAGATGATGTGTGAGGAGCGTAAGCACGTTCAAGAGACAGCCAAAGATCATGGGAGGTAAGTCCTTGAACGTGTTGGAACGACGCCTCAGAGATTGTAGAAATAATCAGCATCCGTACATGTGCATCATTGAAAACCTATGCTGTGTAGTTAGGATTCGGTTGTGGTGGGGGCACTGTGGTGCTGTCGGCATCTTTTCCAGATGATGATGATGATGAGATAGTCATCGGTGGACAAGGAATGGTGCCATCAACATAGCCGAACAGGTTGTTTGTGACAAGGAACGGTTGAACCATTGTCTTCCAATAGCCATAGTTGTTTGGTGATAAAGTGAAGTCAAACTTGTGGGAGTTATGGGTGGTTTTCTCGGTTGGAGTGAAAGCTGCAACAGTTGTCATTGGACAAAAGGTGAGGCAGCCGTAGGGTAGAAGACGGGTGCGATAGCTTTAGGATTAGGCAGCCATAGGGTAGAAGACGGGTGCGGAAGCTTTAGGGTTGCCTTGTGATGGCAGCGGTAGGGCGGCAGCTGTAGGGCGTTTAGGGCCAGCTGCGGTAGGGCAGCAGCTGTAGGGCGTTTAGGGCCGGCTCTGATACCAAGATAAACTTGGTAATTGTGTGTGTATATACCGATTACAATCAGGGATATATATAAGAGATACATTTACACTCTAGACCCTCTAATATAATTATATATATATATATATATATATCACACTTAATTGTCTAATAAGGAGAAATAAGAAATAAGAGATCAGGGGTATTTTGGTAAACAATGGCTGATTGTTAAAAAAATTAGCTTACCATTGTTAATCGGTTAGGAGGCTGAGTATAAATGAGAGAGCTTCTGAGGAACGGATATGCTTACCTTTATGATAAAGGTGAAAACGTTTGGGAGAGATCCAGCCTATCTAAAGCTGGCCTATCAATAAATCATTAAATTTCTATGAATATTGTTTCTATTAAATTTTCTATGAATTTGTTTCTATGGATCCTACTTAAAGCTATGTGATGAGTTGACTGATAGCACATAGATACATGCACGTGTACATCTATTGTATTGGCATTCAAGTTGAGGAATATATTTGAGTTACATGTGTTTATGTCCTACATGGAGGCAACAGATCAGGTATTTGTAGGTTCTCGTAGCTGTTGCAATGGAGGGGTAGAGGGTGGGATGAGGGATGGTCAGAGAGCTGCTGGTTAGGTTAACAATGTTCTAGGCTAGATAGAGTAGAGGGAGACTCTTTGTCGGTAGTTTAGGACTGCCCCTCTGTCCCTCGTGCGTGTTAGCTAGGACATGACATTGACCTTGTTGTAAGCTGTTTGAAAATTTCCTTCGTGTTTTATGCCTTTATCAACGCACCCAAATTGTTTACATATATTGCCTGTGTCTCAAGCTATTCAAAAACGTTTTAGAATCTTTAAAACTTTCATAATTTTTGATTTTTTTACAAACTTTTTTCTTCTCTCTCTAAATGTTCCAAAGGAACTTTTTTGAAAGTCGAGGGTGTTCATTGGAACTACCTAAAACGGTATTTGCCAAGAAATTTAGACTCCAGAATCACAATAAATTTGAAAATCAGAGAAGAGATGCAAAAAGGTATTTGCCATTCATGATCCTCTGCTGATTAAAATTTAGACTCCTCAAACCCAATGAATTTGAAAATCGTAGAAGAGATGACCACAAAGATGAATGTAGTTATGTGGTTGTCAAGTGTCTCAATGTCAATCCTAAGGTATTTTTCATTCTTTATCCACTCTGTAAAGAGAACCTTGGGGGCCTTTAGTGTACATATGCTCTTATTCTATCCCTCTTGCGCATTTGGTTTGTCCATTTTCATTTGTTAGTCCCATTTCTTTATTGTAAGGATAAATGATGGAGATGATAGTCTCAAAATAGCGAAAATGGCTAAAAGAATAGACATTTAGTTTCTGATATTGATTTTCTAGCCATTCATAGAGAAGAGGAATTGTGAAAACAAGAAAGGAAAACAGGTTGGTTGTTGCATTGAAGAAGACGAGTGTTCTTGTGGCATTCTCTGTTGGGCAACTATCCTTAGATTGTATGATTTAGCACTGAATTGCATCTGTTTGCTAATTGGAAGAACTAATGGCACATTATATGACATTGCTGTTTCAACATACTCTACTGAGAGTGTGGCTTCCATTGTAAATAGGCCTTTATCAAGAGTTTATAATGGTAATAGCAAGAAGGCAAATTTGTAGCATTCCCCACTTAACATGGTCTGTCAGATCCGGGCAAATTTTTTTGCAACTGCTTTTTTTGATTGTAGAACAAAAAGTGCAACAATCCAGCCTACCTTGTATATTTTTCTTGGCTCTATCATCTGTATCACTTCCAAACCCCTTCCCCACTCTCTTCATTGACACTAGTATCTTCTAAATATTATATTATGCAAAACTCATTTTTGGGTGATTCTGCAGTTCCAAGCAACTTATGGGAAACCACTAGTCGCCGCTCGTGATTCTAAATGTTCAGCCAAGGATGCTGAAGCAGGTGTACTTGCAATGGAAGCATTGCACAAGCAGGTTATGTTTTTCTCAATTCTTTTTTCATCTGTCAATGCATGCATTTGCTTCTAGTTTAGGTAGTCTATTGCATAAGCTTGCTAGTTGGTATCACAGCTAACATATCTTATGTGCTTCAGGTCATGCCTTTTCTCCTCCGCCGCACAAAAGATGAAGTCTTGACTGACCTTCCGGAGAAAATAATTCAGGATAGATACTGTGACTTGAGTCCTGTTCAACTGAAACTTTATGAACAGTTTTCGGGTTCACATGCAAAACATGAAATTTCCAGTATGGTCCAATCAAATGAGACAGAAGCAGGGGAAGGGGAAGGAAAAGATACATCTAAAACATCTTCTCATGTGTTCCAGGTAACGTGATAAGTGATGGGATGTCCGTCTCTGCTTCATCTTCAACATTTTAGCTGACGACTTGTATTGTCCCTTGCAGGCTCTTCAATTTTTACTTAAACTCTGCAGTCATCCTTTGCTTGTCCTTGGTGGAACAATTCAAGAGTCACTTCCCCGCCTTTTGCCTGATCTTTTTGCAACAAGTTCCGACATTAGTTCAGAACTCCATAAACTGCACCACTCCCCCAAGTTAGTTGCTCTTCAGGAAATTTTGGAAGAGTGTGGCATAGGTGTTGAAAGCTCGAGTTCTGAAGGCTCTGTTGGGCAACACAGAGTTCTGATATTCGCACAGCATAAGGTACTAATGCAATATAATGATATATAACCAAAACCTTGACCAGCCTATTATGTATGCTTTCTACTTTTCACTATAATTTTGTATAATTATTGTAGGCGCTGCTGGACATTATCGAGAAAGACTTGTTTCATGTCCATATGAGAAGGTGAGTCATTACTACTTCTGTTTTGAACTCTAATTTTCATGAGCTTTGACATTTTCTTTCTAAAGAAACAGGGATTTGTGCTGCTGGTTTGTGTGACATCATTTGAAATGTTATGCTTTCTGATTACAACATTAAAAGCTATTGTATTCTCAATTTGTCCATGTAAATTATCCTTTGATATAACCTAAGAAGGTTCTGTTAGGTCTTGGGATTTTCAGGATAAGTATGGATATGGCATCTGTCGGATTTCCACCCCTCTTTGTGCTACTTAAACAAGGCCAATGGTTCTAATTTGAAGCCTATGTAGGAAAATGGAATTGACGGAATATTTGGTGGACTGATTTTTAGGAATCAGTCTCTTAAAAATCTCTTATTCATTGTGTAAATTCCTTCCTTTGTTAGATGCATCGAGTGTATCGTTCCTTCATATTGCATTTGTGTGCCCTAATAACTTCATGCATCATCCATACAGTGTCACATACTTGCGGTTGGACGGATCAGTTGAACCAGAAAAGCGTTTTGACATTGTTAAATCTTTCAATTCAGACCCTACCATCGATGTTTTGCTCCTGACAACACATGGTAATCGTAATTTTTCATGAGCTCAACAGTTATTATTTATATAAACATATTACTTGAATGTTAATAGCATTTGTCAATTGTTATTTGTGTTTGGCAGTTGGCGGACTTGGTTTGAATTTAACCTCAGCTGATACCCTAGTTTTCATGGAACATGATTGGAATCCAATGCGAGACCATCAGGTACGAATGCTTTATACTCCCACCATCCCAAAGTACGTGTCTACATTTCTATTTTAGTTTGTGCCAAAATAAGTGTCCACCTTCAATAGCAAGTGCCTACATTTCAATTCTCCCTTTACTATCAAGAGTAAAACTGTCAGTAGTATATTTGGAAGTGTAATAATTATTCATTTTTAAAACTGTGTGCCTTTTTCGTTGTGGATATTTATTTTGGGACGGATGTAGTATCGCTCTGTCGTCCTTCAAGTATGAAGCTTGATTTTCTCAAGTGGACCATGACATTCTTGTATTCACCGAAAAGAAAGTTTGTGAACACATGAAAAAATTTGGGTGCATGGTACAAAGATACTGTGATTCCACAGTTTAAGAAATCAATAAAAGAAATACAGTCTTCATAGATGGTACTTTATACACTAGATATAGAATACAAAAGTGAGCTCTAGAAATAGGACAGATGTGATGTGTGATGTACATTTATTGAGAGCACATGTTTTTTAGGAAAAGGAATTTATTTAACGGCCTCGACTTCTTTCTTCTCTTCAGGCGTAAGATGTATGTTTAGCTTTTGATTTTGGGCAAAGTGCTACAAAATGCAATGCATTTCAATCTGATTCCTATTTTGTGTAACGTATTTTCAAAACCTTTTATTTTGGTAGCTCAGATGTGACATCTCAAACATTTAAGTATCTGGTTTACATGTGAAAATGCAACGCACTTTGGTCCGATTTAAGTATCTGGTCCCACCCCCATCCCCACCCCACCCACCCACCACCCCAAACAATGAAAAAGACGAAACACACTGCATCCTTGGAGGCATTTAGTATGTGGATTTGAGGATTGTTGGCATTTTATCTTTTTCTATTTGCAACTGCAGGCAATGGATAGAGCACACAGGTTGGGTCAGCGGAAGGTTGTTAATGTTCATCGTCTCATAATGAGAGGGACTCTGGAAGAGAAGATTATGAGCCTCCAAAAGTTCAAAGTGTCGGTCGCCAATGCTGTCATTAACTCGGAAAATGCTAGTCTCAAAACAATGAACACCGATCAATTGCTTGATCTATTTACTCCAGCCGATACTAAAAAGGTACATTCAAGATATCTTCATCCTGTTTCTAGTGAAATGACTATTTTGCCCCCATCACTACAACATATCTCGTTTTTCAGGGTGCATCCACTTCAAAGGGATCTGAAAACGACGGATTACCAAAAGTACCAGGTAGCGGTAAAGGGTTAAAAGCCATCCTTGGTGGACTCGAGGAGCTTTGGGATCAATCACAGTACACGGAAGAATACAATTTGAGCCAATTTTTAGCGAAATTGAACGCGTGAGCTGCCCTTGTATAAAAAGGAATTATTATATGGCAAATGCATAGCAAGCAGCGTAGCTACCTGTACAGTCTAGTACTACATTTTTTGAGCTAGAGCTCGTGATTTTGACACAGTTTTTTCCGGATTTCCCTTTTTGCCCTTTGCGTAATTTAGTATAGAGCAAGGATTAGGAAGAGGTTTGCAAGAGTAAGTGAAAGAAGCAAAGGATGATATTGTAGTGCTTACTAACTTGTGTTTTGAGCAAGGGTGATGATCTGAATTGATCTGTTTTATGTCTGTAGCAGGTTTTTGGTACATACATTATATGAATTTGCCATGGTTTATGGCTTTATTGCTCAAGACTTTTGTTTCTATGATGGTCTGAGGAGACTGTTTCGTTTGACTGAATGTGTTTACGGATTTAGATCTCTGTGGAAAGATGCGGGATTGGAATAAAATTCAATTTCAAATCCCATCAAATCTTGCAAACTGAACGAGTTATAAAGATTTTGAGAAGGTATTGAAGAGACTAAAAGAATATAAAGAAAGATGTCTAATGAAGTTGTATAGGATTTATTAAGTTAAGCCAAGCCTTCTTGGGTGTTTGGGATTGTTTAAAAAAATAACTTATTGACTTATTCTGGTGTGGCACTGGTAATAAGCATTTTTAAGTGTTTGGATAAACAACTTATACCGGTGTCAAACCGGTAATAAGAAGTTTTTTAAAAAGTTAAACTCTTTTGACTTGTGATAAGTTGATAAGTGTTTTTGTATGAAAGCATAAATTGTTTCAAATAAGCAATCCCAAACACCTCATAAGATGGCTTAGCTTAACTTAATAAATGCTATACAACTTTATTAGACAATCGTTCATGGTTTTTTCAAAGAAAATTTCAAATTATTTAACATTTGTTTACAAGGCTTGTATGTACATTCAACATCCATATTGTCATTGATTAAGATAGTTTTTTGACCAAATATAAGACATGTCACAGGTTCGATCTCAACCAACCCCCCCCCCCCCCCCCCCCCCTCCGAGCTAGCATCTGCCACTAAGTTGAGTAAAAAAAAAACTCACATTGGTGTCTTTGAAGAGGGTTCTGTAAGGTCAATAAGAGTTATCGATAATCAACTTTTTGCCAAAACAATGACTAAGCTTTTTAAGTAAATGTGGTATATAGATTTATTTGTATTTGTTACATTCGTGTTTTTTGGTTTTTGAGGTTGATCTATGATCCTTTGTGGACGGCCTTTTGAGTTGGAAGTATGGCAAAAGACTTGGTGTAATTGTAAGGATTTTTATACTGAACAATAATAAACTATAACTGATCAAAAATCGTATATTATATATCAATCAGTTTTATTTAATACCAAGTTTTTTTGGTGATACAAAACATGTTGGTTATCGGTTTATGCATCAATGTAGGAATGGCAACAAAGAACATTGCAACAACATGTTAGGAATGGCAACCGTCAAGTTATTGGTATCCCCGTCCCTGAAACCGATAATTAAAACCGTCCTCGATCCCTGTCGAGGATCTCATTAGGTCCCCGCGGTTCCTCCGATCCCCGTTAAGGGTAAAAATCATCTTTTTCCCATTCAATGTTGGTTTTAATCGAACCCAAAACCGAAACACGAAACCGATCTAAAAAAATTACAATATGTTAATTTTCACAACTAAAATTATATTACAATTTTTTTAAAGATGTAAGTTTAAATGTCTCAAACATAATTCAACCAATTACAAACATTGTATTAGATTACAATATAAAACTAAATAAAAATTCAAACATAGTGCAATTAAAATCATGATTTCACGATTAGACAAATAAACTAGACTTTTTCGTGAGCCTTATTTGGGTTGTTGAGGTAAAGTGGATAAAAGTCTTTTAAATTTTAATGTTACTATTTTTTTTAATGATATTGTATATATATATATATATAAAAATTAAAATTAATATATATATATATATATAAATTAAAATTAATATATATATATATATATATATATAAATTAAAATTAATATACATACACATATTGAGTCGGGCCAGTGATCATCGTCCCCGTTAACATCCCCGAATGTGTCCCCGATCTCCACCCCGTCCACAATAAGATATCCCCGAATCCGACCCGAAAGTTTCGGTTTTCACCATCGTTTCGGTTTTTTTTTTTTTTTTGCCATCTCTACAACATGTGCAATGATGCAAATATGCACTCTAATAATAAGAATAACCTAAAATAGAAATGAAATAGAAGAAAAAGAAAAATTTCTTACTGTTGTTTAAAATATTAGATTATAATTATATTTAGAATAACATTACAGAGGTGAGTTATTATGCAATTTTTTACATTTATACAATCAATACAACTCAATCTCAACCATTCATTTAATTTGATTAATGTGTGATTTCGTAAAAGTTTTGATTGTTTTCTAATATAAAATATCGATCATACTTAATGAACTTTAGTTATCTTCCATAAATATTCAAATCTATATTATATTATAAAACATTTGACAAAAACTCTTAAAAACCATTTTTTATGCATGAAGTACTATATATTGATGCAAATTACTTAAAGTTCAAGATTACAATACAATTTATTAAAGCTTTATGGTTGAATTTGTGTAACTAACTGCAGATAAACATAAGCAAATAGAGGATAAAAATCTCATTTTAAAATATAAAATATCTAAAATATAATTAGGATAATTATCGAATTCTAACAAAATAATTAGTTATTATATTTATAAGAAAATTATATTATTRAACCAAATATAAATTACTTMTTTATTGRACCTAAATTAAATTATAATAAAAAAAATTGAATAAAAAATTACATACAAAATGAGAAATTTAAATAGTTAATTTGATACTAAAATTGATAATTTTTTGTCAATTTTTTATGATATATTCTAAATTTATATTTTATTCAAAAATAAAAACATCAGCGCTTTTTCAAAATCACATAAGACCATATTATAATATTGACTAAGATAAAGAATAAAATGAAATATTAAAATCAAGATGTATCTCGCTGCATTGTGCAAGTACACTTCTAGTCATAATAAATGAACTCTCATCATTTTTATAAATATCTCAATTAATTGAATTGTATTGGTTGTACAAATGGACATGATTGCATTTGAAATATACCCTAACATTATAATGCTTATTGAAATAAATTACATATAAAATAATTACAATATATTTATAAATTTATATTTTACTTGCACATCTAATTTTTACCTATATTAGTTGTAACTTAAAAGAAGAGATCTTATTACTGTTTACTCATTATCTGTTTCGTTATCTGCCTCTGACAGGTATTTTAGTTGGTAAAGAGGTGGAACGACTTATCCCAAACACAAAATGGATTATGGGTTGGAACCCGAGCCCCCACTAACCTCAACCGTTGAGTAAAACAAAAGAATGCATCCTCACATTAATGTCTTTGAAGACGAGTTCCATATAAAACCGATTAAAATTGATGGTAATCAACTTTTTACCCAAATAACTGAATAATATTTACCTTATTTATACCATATCTGTTTTTATCAGGAAAAAAAGAAAATGATATAAGATGCTAATGTTATTCTTGCTTTACGTAGAATAATCTTTTTTCAAGTCAGAAAATAAATTTTATTTTTCATTCAATTTAGCAAAACCCAAAACAAAGATTCTTCCACTTAAGAGGCAACATCTGAATCGTTAAGAGGTGAATCTTGTTTGCCAAAAAAAAAAGTATGCCTCTTAATGGTTCTATAACCCTCTGAATGATTTTGTATCATGGATCTCCCTTAATCATTAAGACCCCTAATTTCATTGTACATAATTATCAAACAATTATATTTCATCTTGCACTATATCATGAGAGTCTTTTAATCATTCTGCATCAAACCATTCAACAATTGACAAACAGCCCCTTAATTTGAGATCATGATAGTTTATAGATGAAAGGACAAATTCTGAAAACAAATTTCTTTTCAAGGACTGATTATGTTACAATATTTATCAAAGGGACTAATTTTGTAATTTACCTAAAATGACAATGATCGCTTTCATCAATTAAAAACCCAAAACCCTAGCCAATCGTCCTTCTCCCTGCTTTCCCATTTCCTGTAAAACCCTACCAAAACCCTCAAAGCTTCAAACCTTTGGTTCTCGCTTTCTGAAAGATGCCGTTGGGTGATAATTTAGGAGACAAAAGCGACTCCAGATATTGTGGAGTAGAGACTGAGTTCAATGATGACATGCCTCATGTTCTTTCATGTAACGTCAATGGCGGTTTTGATTTCGTCGTTGCTCCTTTGGTTGGTTTTATTACTCATATATGGATTTTTCTTAGCAGTTTGTGTGTATATTTGTTTGTCTGTGTCTACATTTTGGTTTTCTTATGGTGACTATATTAATTTCATATGTGGCTTCCTTGTGCAATTCTTTGTGTTATTGTATCTTCTTCTAAAATTCTTTCTTTTTCTTTCACATACTTATATGCGGATGGAGTATAAATTGTACAGCAGTCCGTTTGCTATGGGGAACTGCTGAATTATATCTTACAGGGTTTTAGCAAGCTAAAAATGTTTGCTTTTACCAAGTTTGACAAAACTGGATGCCTGCTTATTCACTATCTGGATGTAGAGAAGTTACAAGCAGCTGAACATGTATTTCTTGCTGTATTTGTTAATTTAAAGGATATGAAAAATGTGGATGGTATTACATTCATGTTTGAACAGTCACATCATACTGGAATGTTGGTCAATGCTGATGAATAGTGATTGCACATGATCTGGTTTACTTATTTTTTATTGTTTCGGGGAGTCGAATAACTTTATTTTCTGATTTTACGTTTCAGATGGAACCTGGATATAGGCCTAGTTTAATCGATAAAGCTAGCAGAGATTCCACTGTGCTTCCTTTTGCTGGATCAGACTTGGTTTTAAGCCCATCACAATGGAGTAGTCATGTTGTTGGTATAACTTCATCCCATGTTTGATTCCGTTTTTGATAAAAATACTTGTTCAGATTTTCTTTGGTAGCCATCGTAAGATCGCTTATTTGGTACCTTTCTGTCAGCCACTATAAGAGATATTTGTATTTGATTTCAAATTGTATTCAATACACAGTTAAACTGTGAGCAGTTATAATGTATTTTGAAACGAAGGACAAATAATTTGCATTATAACGTGTTACTTCTGTTTGAATTCAATATCATAATTGGGGTATCAAATGATGGTTCCCAACTTTTTTTAATCAAGTAAAGATATTCTTCGTCTACCGTGTGATGTGAAACTTAGTACCTTACTAGTAGCAACATATCCTAAGAACACTTTGGACCGATAAAACATCATTTCAGATCGGAATTAATTTATAAAACAATCTTGTGACATCTTCTTTAGATCTCTAAAAAGAAGGCCCTCCTGCAGTATACATGTTCTCTGACTATGGATTGCTTGGATCAACACACTTCACATACTTCTCTGATTCATATCGCTTACTTTTCTTAGGCCTAAATTATAAGTGTAGTATGGAAGTTCTGCATTTTTTCTTTTTGATCCCCATAGTTGTATCATGCACTTTACAGTACAGTGCATCCCCATATTCTTCTAAAGAAAGCTTAATCCCATAATAGTATGTTGAATTTTAGAAATATCTTTGGATCAACGCACTTCACAAACCTCTGATTCATATCATTTGCTTTTCATATGTTTAAAATTAAGTGTGGTACTGAAGTTCTGCATTTCTTTTACATCCCCATAGTTGTAACATGGACACGTTACCTGTACAGTGGACATCCATATTCATCTAAATAAGCTTAATCCCATAATCATTTGTTGAATTTAAGGAACATCTTTTGCCCCCTGTAGATCAGATTTAGTTTATTCTCAGTCAGTCAGTCAGTCTGTCTGTCAGTCAGTCAGTCAGTCAGTCAGTCTATATGGATTAATATTCCTTTTAGGTTTGTGTAAGTAAAACATTCCCATTTCATGGCATCTAGGAAATTGGTTGTTAAAATTAGCAGTTCCAATCATTTACTAAGAGTAGAACCACCCTGAATGTCCTTAAAAGAAATTGAATTATCTTTTTTATTTTCAGTGCTCTTTATTGGTTAGTTGGTTGCATATGCATCATGAGCAGACCCTGCAGTGAGCAAATCTTAATTAACTTGAGATTATAATTATCTTATATAGCTCAGCCACTGTATAATTGTTGCCTATTTTGATGAGGTACATGATTGAAGTCGTAACATGCCCATGATACAGAGAAAAGAAGGAAAGAAACACAATTTGGCATTTGGTTTAGCAGAATGTTTTAAGAAGTTGATGTGAAGGATTTATAGGATTTTTTAGTTGCTGTTGCTATGTGACAGCTCTTTTCTTTAGCTATATGGTTTTAAGGCTTTAACCTTGTTATATGCTTGTCTAGGCTCATTATCCTTGGCCACTGCATTCAAAGTTCAGTTCATATTATTGGTTTTGGGTTATATTAATGGCTTATATTGATTATTTTGTTGTAGTTTTCAACTCAGGCTGGCTTAACTTGTTAATTTATTTGTTGTTGCTGCTGCTGTTTATGTTGTTTGCGTGTTCGGTGTTTCAACATTCTTCTTTGTAGTTATTTTTGTTGATGGCTTCTTCGTCTTATCAGGCAAAATTAGCTCGTGGATTGACTTGGATTCAGAAGATGACATTCTTCGGGTGGATTCTGAAATTACTTTGAAACAAGAATTAGCGTGGGCATCTCATCTCTCTTTACAGGTTTAAAAATTAAAACATGCAATGGTTGTCTCTACATATGTTAGGATGTTGAATTTGTAGCTTTTTCTCTGCTTGCAGTTGTGAAATGTATGTGTGTAATTGGTAGTGGTGATCCTGCTAATGAGTGCAGGATGCCACTTCCAAATCATAGGCTCGATTTTCTCTAACCTGCTGATCATTCAATTTTCCTGAAATAAAATTTTGAGAAGGTTCGATTTGATTGAGCAATCCAATAAGCTGCTCATGCTTTCGTTTTAGTCGATTCTTGATTATGATGAGCTAAATGAATATTAGTTCTATTGTGTTATATTGTGTTAAACACGTGATTATCGCTTGTCACATTTTGGGATAATATTCTTCCAAACAGAACTTTTTTTGGCTTTATGATATGCACAATTGTTTGAAGGAAATCTAGCTGTATAAGGATGCCACTTCCAAATCATAGGCCTGCTAACTTAAATACAATTTTATGCTTTGTGCCATTTTTGTGTGTTTTTATTTATGTTTCCTAGATGCATTAATATTGATGTTTGCTATTCAGATGTAGTCCTATAAATCTGTTGATTATTATCTGTTGACATGAATTCCTGCGATGTAAATCTTTATGTTGGATTGCTTCAACTGCCATCAATCTAAAATTCCTGCACACTGTAGCCTTTGAACTTAAGTGTCTTTGTTCTTTTTCAGGCATGTCTTCTGCCTACGCCTAAGGGGACATCCTGTGGTAATTATGCAAGATGTGTGAATCAGATTCTACAGAACCTTAACAATATGCAGGTATTGATGGTTGCCTTTACACATCAGTGTTTTCAGATATGCTATGCTTCATTTGGTTTGGTCAGGCCAGCATCCATATCCCCCCCCCCCCC